TCTCGCTTCCTTCAACGGCCAAGTCGTTATCTCCATCGCTTCCATTATTGTTTTGTCCCTCGCCATCACAAAAGCCGATACAAGAATAAAACACAAAAATTTCAACAACCCATTACATATATATAATGCTGCAGTAAATAAAATTATAGTATGAAGTTAAAATGGGGGAGAAGTAGAGAACGGCGTTGTTGATACTACTGCTGACAGTTAGCCAGAACCAAGGATTTTCATGCATACTGTCATCATGAAGATTGTGAGTAATCTGTTTCTTTGTTGAGCTTTAACTCTGCATTCATTTTTAAAGGCTAAATGATAACAAGGAATAGATCAGATCAGATCAGATCCTACTGCTTTCTTAATTACTGCTTTATAAGGAGCTTTATTAATCATATATATGACAAAATCCACCATGTGTTTGTATGTTGTGTTTTAATTTGTTGGGAGTATCATTTTCTTCTTCTTCATTCTTCTGGAATTACATCTGTTTTTCTATGATATGATGCTTTATAATACATGCAACGGTAGAACCTGTTGCAGAGGATGTGGATACTAGGAGTTTTTTGGGTGTAGGTCAGGGTTTCCACAGTTAAATACAGTAACTAATTTTCTCGCTGAATTGTAGGCACCTCTATTGGGTGGGATAGTTGGCGTAGAGATTTAAGGTTGCTCCAAAGTCAATGATTGAACCCTTGACCTTTGAGTTGATACTAGGATTGATATAATACATTCTTGACCGCTACACAAGTATAAGAAAATAAAATTGCATCTTAGGTATATAATAACTATAATTTTTGGCTTAGTGATAAACGCTAGATCACAATAAAATGTTCCTTAAGTTACACATTTGCTACTAATTAATACACTTTTTGACAAAGTGATAAGCGCTTGATCAGAAAGTAGTTGCTTAATTAATATGCTCAGGTTCTACATGATGAGTGATTCAAAGTGACAGTGTATGTTGGGAAATTAAACTAGAGGACTGAGTTTGTTACTTTGTTTACTTCACTGAAACCTCAGATATTTGATTATTTGGTATATATATATATATATATATATATATACATACTACGTTTGGTTAAGAGAAGATTTTAATGCAAATGGAAAGGGATGAACTTCATCTCCAGGTAATACTTAATTACTTAAAGTATCTTGACTTTGGGTATGGTAGTAGCCTTATATCTCTAGGCCAAATTGTACCACCTTTAGAAGTGCTTACAATTCAGCGACAAGATTATATTATTCACTTTGTCCGACGGTTGAAACTTGGGTTACACTAAAAAAAAATCAATTCATCACACTAATGTTCGAAACCAAATATAAATTAAACATCACTTTGATGTGTATAAAGTATAAACTATCATTGCTTTTGAATAGAAAAGCTCAGTATACAACAAAAACATCATTTACACATAGACTGAGATTTATGTAAGGTAGGACCCTAGATACTTCATTCTTCAAGTGTTCCATCAATATAGAGCACCAAAAAATTAGTGTTCATTGTCACACATTTATAGAGCACAACATTTAGTCATATATATGTCTTGCTTAATAGATCAGTACTGAGTCATTAATTACTGATTGTGATTCTATCAAGCATGATTGCTTGCTTTCTGATCTGTCAAGTCTTCCGAAAATATAATCAAATGTAATGATTCTTGCTGTTGCACAGCTCAATTTATGGAAATGAAATATTACTATTTAAGTAAACTTTGCTCCATGCAAACTATGATTATGAGTGCAGTGCAGTTATATATCATTCTGCTGAATGAAAGATATCATTTTTTTTGTTGGCATATTCTGTGAAACTATTGATTTAGTCTGGAAGTACCCAGTTTAAGAGTTATATATTCATGTTTTGTGGGCTTTTAAGCATGCTGGGAATTCATTAAAGAATTTGCTGAACTTCAATTTCCATGAAGAATTTGACTCAGTTATATATATAGCTGATCTTGAGAAATTCAAACTGATAGTTTTTTAAGCCATTCTGGATATTGTCACTGAAGCTAAATTATCAGACTCTTGAATGGGTATCTCTTTCTGATGAATTTGCAAAGGGATTTCAATGCTCTTTTTAGTTAAGTTTTCTTTGCTTTTACCAGCCTCAAAGCAACCCCAATAGCCATATTTGTTGGGTTTTTTTGTGAAGTTTTTTAGTGAGGTGGATGTGAGAGAAGAAATAGAGTAAAAAAAAAACATAAGGGATGCGAATTTAAAGTGCACGAATCACCATAGCGAGTGCCTCATAGTGGCCGCCACTTTAAATGTGTTAATTCATTTCTTTTTAAAAAATATTAATTGCAATGACCAGCTTATTTATTATTATTATTATTTTTAAAACATATTACTTAATTTTTTATTAAATTTTTAAAAATTAGGCCAGCTTTCTTTATTTATTTTTTTAAATTTAATTTTGTTATTAAATTTATAATTATCAATTAGATTGAATTTTGACATGTTTACTTTAAATATAAATAATAATTATAATTATTATAATTACAATTATAATTTTTTAGAATGATAATAAATAAAAAATAATTAAAATATATAGCTTGTGTAAAATGGTGGGTTAACACAAAACTTCAAAAAATTTTAAACTTTTGAAAAAAAAAAAGGGTTTTTCAGATTAAGTTAGTTAGATAGTGAATGATGAAGTACATACTGGGTCCAAAAAAAAAAAAAAAAAAAAAAAAACTGGATAAAACTCACAGTTGAAATTGTTTTTACATAAGGGGAGTTTTTTGGGCACCAACAGCCATTGCACTGCATGCTGCCTAGTGGCACAGTGACCTCCTATTTCGAAGAGCAACAGATCAGAGGTACCATTGAGCTACAAACTACCGTTAGAGCTGCAAAAACCCGGCTTGCTCTCAATCCTCACCATACACCAGTGCTATTGAGTCTTCAATAGTCCTGACTCCTGATTAGTTTGGTTTTCCCTCTTTTATATGGAGTATCACTTTCAATAAATTTTCTTTTAATTTTTTGAATAAAAATGTGTCCTGAGAAAAATAAATTGCAAATAATTATATAAGGTGGGGAAGTCTGACACCTGAATGACCCCTCTGAAGAACTAATAAAGACTCAATAGCACATGTTTATCATTTGCTGAAATCTGACACTGCTCATTGCTACCTTCAATTCAACCTACCTACTAACATTCCCTGCTTTTTAGATGACATTTATACATTTTTCTTCTACCTATGAAGCTGCTGCAACTCAACATTGAACCTCAGATGATTGTGTTAAGGTAGTGTACTATAATGCAAGTAAAATAACTTTAGAACCACCACACTAGCCGACCAACCAACCAAGAAAACAAAAGAAATGTGTTTAGGAGATCGACAACCCGAAACCAAGTTGGTCATGCTGTTGATTTGGTAACTACAAAGTTCTCAAGTTTAACTCCCAATCCGAACTGTCTATTTGTATTCTTGGTTTGAACTGGTCAGTTATGGCAATGCGCATCCTTAGTCAGTGGAGATAAATCAAAATCTCCCTCATGAGTCTATGCATTATCATATTACACATATCTTTAAGCTAAGTATGGTCGTTCTCATTTTAATTTTGTATGGTGTGGTAGCTGCACAATATTCCAGACATTTAAAGAGTAGGGTTTTCAGTTTATATCTTTCAGTACCAAATTAAACACGCCATTTGCACAGGAGTCGAGAAACAGTTCATCAGCTTTAATTTGACCAAGGATGCAAGGTACTTTTATGATGCATGTTCTGCTGTTCATGCATGTGTCGGCGAATATTGAAGTTCTTTGTACCCTAGTGAAGGAGGTAGCTCAACTTTAAATTACCAGAATCATTCTACCTTCCAAAACATCATTGTTCCTTGCAAGGTTTTATGTTTTTTTGTCATGTCTTATGCATTGTTTGCCCTTTTTGAGCTCTCCGGTAGTCTACTTAATTGAATTAGAATAACAACCCTTTGATATAGCTCAGATCAAATCCTACATCATTCTTCCTATAGTTCCATATTTGTTATGTATGTGCAATTGTGCACTGGGTGTAACCACCAATTAAGTTGTCGGATAATTGACTTGGTAATTATAAGATTTCGCGTTCTCGCTTTAATATTGGTTTAACTGCACTCACCAAGTTGGTCGGATAATTGAATTGGTAATCATCATAAGGTTCTAAATTGAATTCCTGCTTTAACATCGGTTTAAGGAGACGAAGAAACTCTTCGTTTCCATGGCCGGAGACGAGGAATCTCTTCTGGCCGGAGACGAAGAAATGGAGACTTTATTTTCTTTTAAATAATAATTTTAAAAAAATATTTTAAATATGTGGTGACTTGTTTGTAACTTGCAAAACTTGTAAATTGGATTAATTGCATGAAATTGGTTAGTTTAGAGACTCAATTGTTTTTTTTTTTTTTAAATCAGTAGCCTAATTGCATTATTATATGCAATTCAATTGCCTATTTGAACTTTATTCCTATTTTTATAGGTTAATTTCAAATTCTTGACATTATATGCAGAAACTGATTCAACTCAATAATATCCAGCCTTTTTTTTTTCTTGGTACATATGAGAAAATAAGGTTTGAACTTCAAATCTTTTGCTCATCAGGTTCGTGATATTATTACTTTGGATTCTTATCTTGTCAAATATTAATTATTTACCAACCTTACCCACTAATTTCAATAATCAATCAAGTATTTACAGCTACACCAAAAATTATAGTTAGCAGCAAAGGTGCAATCTATTTCTACCTAACAAGTTACGTTTTACTAGTAAGATGTTACACTCGACTCTCTAAGTCAACGCTATGTTTTAATGGTAAGATGCTGAACTCGATTCTCCGAATAGCTGCCCAACTGGTAGCTAGGGAAAAAATTATGGGTCAAATTCTGAAGGCTGGATATATTAACTGGAGATCTCAAATAGAAACTAAAAGGCATAGCCTGTAGATGGTAGTGAAGGTTATATTCTAGAATCTAGAGAGCTCGATCTAGATCCACAAATCTGGGAATTGTGAATTAAAAAAAAAAAAAAAAAGAAGTTATTTTTGTAGCTCTAGCTACTTCTATGCAATTATGCACAATGGATAAGTTCTAAGCACAGTAGAAGTTAAATTCACACATGTATTTTATGGCTTACATTTGTGGCTTCTTGAAATTTTGTTTATTGTTGTGCATCCACACCTTGAACACTTGCCTTTTTATGCCCATTTCACTGCAGAATTGCAGCACTTGTTGCTCATCTTGCTTCTGGATCTTCCACCCGAGCTTTTCTGCAAATTCATGCATGCTATCCTTCTGTTGCTGCGTGAATTTCGTCCTAAACCGCTTTCTCGACACTGAAAATGGCGAGGGATTGTGTAAAACCTGTCCTCGGGCGTGGTTAAACAGGTTGAGATCTTCGCTGGAAGATTCCGCCGGAGCGCCGCCGCCAAATGCCATCATTACCGGCGGCACCTGCAGACCGTGGGAGTAGTGGTGGAGGTTCCGGGGAGGCATTGCCACCGGAGCGGAATGTGGAGTGTGAACACGATGATGGTGGTTGTTTATTGCTGGAGTAAATGGGAAATAGGGCGGCGGCGGGGCTTCGCCGTCGATTTCTTTCCGGTGGAAATTGCGGTGGCAGTCACAGGCGGCGCATTTCAGGGCGTCCGGAGTGCCGTCTTCGCCGCTGGGCATAAATTCTCCACACCCATCGATCACATGTCCCCCCATGCTAGCCGCATGGTTCTTGAGGCACGCTTTGTACCTAACTGAATTCCCAGAGCCATTGGCGGAAGTTTCCGGCAGCACTTGCGGCGGCGCCGCCACGGCGGCGCTATTCCCCGGCCCAGCTGGAAGAACACCCGGATCTGGATCTGGATTCGCAGCCTCATCATCTTGAGCGAGGTGAAGTTGATCTAGGGTTTGCATAGGATGATGATTCTCAATAATCAAACCATTGTTTCTTCTATCCAAAGAAGACAGCGGTTCTTGAAGACGATGATGACTGATTCTTGAAGATGGATAGCCGCCGCCAATAGAGTTTTGTAGTATTCTCATATCCTTTTGTTGTTGGCTGCTACCTCTCACCTCCATTGATTCTTGATATCTCCGAACTTACCTTAATACACCATTAATCTGCAATTTTTCTCAGACCAATCCGTACGTTTATCCTTTGATGTCGACACTCTTGTTAGTTGTTAGTGCCAAACCCACAAATTAAAGTCACAAATGACAAACCTCTTCCTATTACTACGTAGTAAAGTGATGGATGGTGGGATTAAGAAACCGCACCCACATAAAATGGCAGCTATGTTGTCCGGCTTCAAGCTAAAACATTCAAGAGAATCTTGAAAGCTTTTATGGGACCCCTCGAAACAGGAGATTATGAGTACTGGTAGCCACAGGGAACAGTGGATTATATTTGATTCGAAAACTGTAGGGTATATAGTTTCAGGAGCACTGATTCAGGAGCTAATGCAGTGGAGGGAGAAGGGGGGGAGAGTAAATTAAAGAAGACAGGGTTTTGTGTCTCCTCAGATCCGTCAAAAAACCTATAAAGAACAAACGTTGAAGGGAGCCAAAAATTTCAGATGATGATGGGGTTCCTCTGCTGAACAACCGACAACTTCATGTTAGCTCTTCTGCAGCCCAACAGTTTCTCATTATTCTCTCTCTCTATAAGATGAGAGAGAAAGGAATGGATTTGGTAAAGGGGTATAGCTTTGATGGGACGTAGCATTGGTTGCCTGGAATCTTCCTGCAAAATCTGTGTAAATGCCTTGCTAGTTTGGCAGCTAAGCTTAATTAATCTCGATCTTCAAGGTGAGAAAGATTAGGTTTAACTTAGATTTTTTTTTCTGTTTCTTTGATTTACTGAAAACTCTTAGCCATTATTCGATAGTGTTTTCTGGATGAAGTTCGTCTTATAGTTATAGTCGATAAAGTACTACAAGGAGGTAAATCAATATAAGTTGTTCATATATAATTGTCAGCTCAAATCAAGAAATTCAATAGACAGCTCTTACGGACAGAGTAAATCATTCTAGGTTGCTCATAGCTAACTGTTTCAAATCAAGAAAGCCAATAAACAACTTTCATGCTCATAAATGCTTTGCTAGTTTGGTAGATAAGCTTAATTATTCAATCTGTTCAAGGTAAGGAAGATCACCAAAAAGGGTTTAACTTTTTTTTTTTTTCACAGAAAGTGAAGTCCGCTTTGTAATTTTAATTGATAGTGGACCAATATAGGTTGCTTATAATTGACTAGTTCAAACTAAGAAATTATATCAATAAATAACTTTGACGAAAAATTAATCTTAAAATATTATGATTATTAAGTTAATTGTTGAATTAAGTTAACTTTTTTTCTGGTGTGATAGTTGGTGGGAAAAATGATGGTACTGTGTACAAAGCAATTGAATTCAAAGCATATATGGTGTTAGTGTATTTGTGTCAGAGATGCTACATACAGCTCATAAATAGCGGTGATAAATTGGTAATGCCTAAATAGTTGTTGTTAATGGTTTTGCAGGAATAGGTTTTTACTTTGGTCTCAGCCTTTTAGGAAAGGAAAATGGGAATAGAATTGCTTAGGGACTACACTGTTACTTGACAGTGGATGAATATATGCTGTTGGTACTTCCGAATATTATTGCAAGAAATTACAATCTTAGTAAACAGTATAAAGGTAAAATGAGACAGAGTATCGTTATAGTAACATCGTAGACAAAATGAGACGGAGTAATCGTTTATTATTCAGTGTTTAATGTTGCATCATATGTACAACCTTAGTTATTGTTCTGTAAATTTCCTTAGATGTTAAGGTAGTTAGTTGCCTTAATGCATTAAAAACTGCATAATGGAAGAAGAAAGATGTTACTTACACTCAATTTTACATTCAAGTAATTAGGTTATTATAACATTTTTACTTATAGTTAAATTAGTATATCATTTTTCAAAAGAAAATGAGTTGATCGTGAATTAATTAAATAAATTTATACAATGATGTAGAATTTGATAATAATAATAATAATAATAATAATAATAATAATAATAATAATAATAATAATAAAATGTTCTAGTCTTCTAGAAGTAGTTTTGTTGATAATTGTCTATAAAAATTTTCAGAGTAGTAGTCTTAGTGATAATAATTGTTTATTATACAAGACAAGTATGCAGCAGCTTTTCACGCTTAAGAATTATGATTTTAAGTTCTGACTTTTCGTGATAGCTGCATATTGATTTTATTAATTTGAGCCCGTCAGTAAGTTATGAGCAAATTAAATTGGTTTATCGGTCTTCTTGTTTTTCTTTATCAGTTAGAAATTATAAGGTGAATTTTATCCAAAACGTATTTTCAGATGCAAGAATCAAACTGACAACTTTCATATGCAAAAAAAAGTCGAGAATTATGTTTCACCCAATTGGACAATACTTTTGGGAAGGGACGAATGTAAATTATTGTGTAGGGTAATTGTGACGATAGATGGAGTTGTTGTTCAATTTGTTGTTTTCTTCCCTCTTTTGCTTTATTTCCTGTGCCCCACTGGCACATACTGGTTCACGTTTCTAAGCTTATTAGGGTTTTCTTGACTACAAAAATCTGTATATACCACGTGATGGTGCATCATATTGGATCACCTGACCTAAATCAACGCATTCACACATTGTGACATTAGGTGAGTCAAATTTTAAATTTTTAGTCTACACTATCAAGAATAATAAAATTATAAAAATTGTGTTATAGCTAAATACCCTGTGGTCTGATGGTTAGATGAAGAAAAAAGAAAAATAACAAGACACTAACAAGAAGGCTACATGAAATGTGGGCATGTCATGCTCAAATTATTATTAATAAAAGAATATAGATACTGCTTCAAAAGGATTGACCAAGTGAGTGAAGTACAATTTTCGTACTGGAAGGAGTTCATACATAAATGAATAGTTGTTCATGTAACTCTAGTTGACAAAGGATCCCAATGAAGTAAATCAATCTAGGTTGTCTATAATTGTTCGACTCAAATTAAACTAAGAAGATTAATAGACAATTTTTACGGAGAGTCGAACTGGAACCCTGTGGTTACCAAGCCAACTGTCCAACCAATCCTTAATATAAGACTTTATCATATAGAGTCTGTCACATAATACGATCTTCTTAGTGTTATTTACTTTTCCTATGTGATTTGATAGTGCATTGTGCATTCAAAATTAGTGTGGCTGCGTAGCTTGGCTGGTCACTTGGTCCACTATTTTCATGACCATATAATTTTCTCTTTAGATTCATTGAATTTGCTATGCTAGGGAGTTTTTTTTTTTTTTTTTTTTTTTTTTTTTTTTTTTAAATCCAAAAAAAAAAAAAAAAAAAAAAAAAAAAACATTTTTTTCGTGCAAAACTAGAAACACGCATAACCTCACTTCCAACGTAAGTCGCAATTCTATGTACGCATAGATTATACCAAGCTACTTGCCAATTTTTAAGTGATTAATTTTTTTTTTTGCAGAATTAAGTGATTAATTAGTTGCCGTGTTTTTTAATAAAATATTTTTAAATAGAAATTAGAATACTTTAAATGAGATTATATTGTCATTAGAGCTTTCATATTAACTAGTAAGTGGAGCTTTCATATTAACTAGTGAAGCACGGACTATTATTAATTTAACAAATAAGTAAATTACATATTTGGTCCTATGATTATAACGGGTGTGTTAATTTCGCTTCATTACTTTTAAAACTAACAATTTAGTCTTTTAATTATATTATTTTTAACAGATTTGGTCCTTCCGGTCAAATCACGGTGGAAATTGGCCGCAAAAACTTAAACCTTTTTAAAATTTTTTATTCATGAGGGCAAAATAGTCTTTTTTTTTACGTAAGCTTCTTCTTCTTCTTCTTCGCGTTCATGAGCTACGGCTAACAGTTGCCTCTACTTCCAAGAAAGAACAGTTCCAAGAATCGAAGCCCCAGGTTCAGAAGCAAGGTATGATTTTTATCCTCAGCTTTTTCATCATGTCTACTGTGCATTCTTGATTCATCTTTCCCAGATCGCACGGTATAAAGCTCTATAAGAGATCTAAACTCTCAGAAATATTCTTCTCCCTATTCTAGCCACAACCATCCTCCCAATTCCAGCCACGACCAAAACATAATTGTAGTATTGATTGTGGTCCTGTGGATGATGGTTTATTTATAGTATTGAAGTAGGTGTAAATGTTCATGTAAATATTGATTCTGAATTTTAAATTTATCTCCAATCAATTAATGTTAGAAACATAACATAATTATTGCAATATTAATTCTCAATTATGGATCAACAATTATTACTCAAATTAATTTTGTGAATTACTCTCCTATCTACTAATTTTTTTTTTTTTGCTTATTATTCACTTTGATTTTCTTTTCATCTTTATTTAATTATTTATGATGATTATGATTAGGGAAAAATTTTTCCTAATCATTTTGCTTTAATATATATAGAGATAGAGATAGAGATAGAGATAGAGATAGAGATAGAGATAGAGAAGAGAAGAGAAGAGAAGAGAAGAGAAGAGAAGAGAAGAGAAGAGAAGAGAAGAGAAGAGAAGAGATAGAGATATAATATATAATATATGCAATATTTTATAAATTAATGATATAGACATGTTATGTTGACTAATTTAATAATTAGAGAAGAGAAGAGATAGAGATATAATATATAATATATGCAATATTTTATAAATTAATGATATAGACATGTTATGTTGACTAATTTAATAATTATGTTGATGTTGATTTGATTTGTAACTAAAATTACATGAATTTATAAATTAATGTTAATACAATAAATGCTTTCACACTTTGGAGGAAAATAAATTTTCCTAATTATTTTGCTTTAATATATATAGAGATAGAGATTAGGAGAAAATACGACAATAAAACAAAGAAAAATATTGTAATTATTTTCAAAGATACAAACAAATGACTTTGTAGTTTAGTGGCCTCCTATTCTCATAGGAGCACAAATTATATCGTGCACCGAGCTTCAAGAAGCGGCACCCGTTCCGCAAAAAGTAACTCTGTTATTCAGTTTCATTTTGTATACAGTGTAGTTTCAGTTCAACACAATTACAATTTCATTTCGATAGTTATACACTCAAATATGTAAAAATGTTATTTAATTTTATTTTATATACACTATAGTTTCATTAAAACACAACTACATGATCATTTTGATATAACTATAGCTTCATTGCACAATATACACTCAAATATGTGAAATGTTATTCAATTTCATTTTATATACACTGCAGTTTCATTTCACCACAACTACAGTATCATTTGGATATAACTGCAGTTTCATTTGATAATATATAAAATAATACGTGAGGCAGTGTCAGTTTAGATACACTATAGTGTCAGTTTAGATACATTGTAGTTTCAGTTGGTAATTAACACACCAAAAAATGCGCACTCCGTTAATAGTAACAGCGCACCATTTCTTTACTTAAAGAAACGGCGGTGTTTTGACCGTGGTCCACGATATAACGACTGCACCTTATCTTATCCTTGCACATCTTGCATAGTTGGACCGTAACTAAGCAAGAGTCAATTCAAACTACTATCTGACCACTAGAATCAACATTGATCCATTACACGTGCATAGTTGGACCATAACTAAGCAAGAGTCAATTCAAACCACCATCTCACCACTAAAATAGTAGAATCAACATTGATCCATTACATCATCTAATATTGCAATTTTTATTCACATAGCATCCATCACAAAGGAGTTTAATCTAAATCCCTAAGAAATTTTAGCTACTCATGCTAGGAAAGA